TCAAGTCTAAAACCAGCCTTAAATCAAGTCTAAAACCAGTCTGATACTCGTCAAAAACTAATCCAAAATCAAGTCTAGAAATCAAAACTGAAGCTCTCAGATCAGGATCACATCCACCATGTTTGAACCCTGTCACTAAAAGACACCATCTCCCATAATTCACCTGCTGTACCCCTGCACCAGTCAGAGGACAGGCAGCTCACCTGTGTGGGCACCCGGACAGGCGGGTAGGCCAGTTTGTTGTGTCGGTAAATCCAGAAGGACAAGAGGACGATGGCGGTCACGGCCATGATGGGAACCAGCGAGTACATCAGAGTGGTCACCACCGACGGCCTCGGCGTCACTGGGATGTTCGTCGCTACGGAAACAGAGAGGATTTCTAATGTTATGGGACAAAATGTCTGAACTGCATGATTATAAGGTCAGCAAACACACAACAAAAGTAGAACGTTTTTACAATGTAGTTGCACGTTTACGATAAAGTTGCTTGTTTACGATAAAGTTGCATCTTTACAATAAAGTCACATGTTTATGGTAAAGTTGCATATTTCCAATAAAGTCATGTTTACTATAAAGTCNAGTACTACACACAGCAGCACTACTAGTACTACACACAGCAGCAGTACTAGTACTACACACAGCAGCAGTACAAATACTACATACAGCAGTAGTACAAATACTGGGAATGTAGTACTACATTCACAGTATTTGTACTACTGCTCTAGTACTACAGTTGTACTACAGTTCTAGTGTTTATACTGCTATACTACATTCACAGTATTTGTGCTACTTACAATAGTTGTACAAATACTGTGAATGTAGTACAGCGGCAGTACAAATACTACACACAGCAGCAGTACTAGTACTACATTCAGCAGCAGTACTAATACTACATACAGCAGTAGTACAAATACTGTGAATCTAGTACAGCAGCAGTACAAATACTACACACAGCAGCAGTACTAGTACTACATTCAGCAGCAGTACTAACACTACATACAGCAGTAGTAGTACAAATACTGTGAATGTAGTACAGCAGCAGTACACATACTGTGAATGTAGTGCAATTGTAGTACAAATACTGTGACTGTAGTACAGCAGCAGTACATCTACAGTGACTATAGTACAGTAGTAGTATAGATACTGTGATTGCAGAACAGTAGCAGTACAGATACTATAACTGTAGTACAGATGCTATGACAGTAGTGAACCAGCAGCACAGATCATGTGACTGTAGGATAATCGAAGTAAAGACACTGTGACTGAAGTACAGCAGCAGTACAGATACTATGACAGTAATAAACCAGCAGTACAAATACTGTCACTGTAGTAAAGACAGTGTGACTGTAGTACAGTAGAAGCACTGTGATTGTAGTACAGTCGTAGTACAAATACTGTCACTGTAATACAGATCCGGTAGTACAGCAGTAGTACATCAAGTAAACAGTGTACGAACACGGTGTCCTGTCAGGTGTGAGCAGAACTCACCTGAGGAGCAGGAGATGAGGAAAACACTGAAGGCCAGTTTGGTCGCTGATCCCATGGTGGATCCGCAGATTAAATCCTTTATTTCAGTTTTAATCCCACACTCGGACCGGGATCACAGTCCCTTTAAAGCGGCTCTGACTCTAATGGACACCGAGCAGCTGCACCATTCCCCGGTCCAACAGCTGGTCCAGGTCCGGCCTGTCTAACGGGAAACACCGACACACGCTCCGTGAGACGAGGCAGATCCTGAGATAACCCGTGAGTGAGGACAGGCCTGGGCGCCGAGGGGGAGCTCGAACATGGTCCGGCTGTCAGGTCTCTTCATCGGGAGCACCGCCAGTCAACAGGCCGGTTCGCTGAGTACCTGCAGGAGCTGTCAGAGGCGCTTATTCGGCTTCGAGTAGAAATGGAGCAGAAATCATTTACGAGGCAGCACAGAGGACGTTTCCATCGATCTGCAGTGATTTCGTGCGAATCGCGGCGGGATTAGGTCGAGCTGCTGCTAAATTCCTGCTACTGTTTACATAAACCTCCCGTGTTCTCCAAATAACCGACACATCCAGAGACAGCCGAGCTTTCAGCGTATATCTGGGTGTTGAACAAGCAGCCGCGGAGTGGTGGTGTGATCCGGGATCAGAGTCCACGTCTGGGAAAACAGCCGCCGACGATCAGCTGCAGCCTTCAATCCGCCGCTGACGACCACAGCTCGGTCATCGAGCAGCTAGCTGGCCCGGCTAGCCGTTAGCTTAGCTCCGCAGCTAAGAGCCCGTTTGATGGAAGAGCGGGTTTCCTGAACCACAAACCGCAACCACATCCGCGCAGCGTGTCCTCGGTGTGGGGGTGGAACCGTGGGGTGAATTATCCCGGACTGAATTCAAATAAACATACGCGGTTAGCACCTTCCCACTCGGCCGCTCTCCGTCTTCACTTCCACTCTCTCTGAGCGACCAGAGGCAAGATGGCTGCTACGCTCAGAGGTTTTTTCACCTTCTTCCATCATCTGTCACAGCTCTGAGTGACAGCACAACTAGCCAATAGGAGGGGTGGAAGGAGACCGAAGTTCTCCACCAATCATGAGCTCTGTCTGTACGTAGAGGCGCGATAAGGACCGCCCCCTGTGGCAGAAGAAGGCGGGACGTAACTCGGAGGCTCCTCCCAAAACGTATATTTACACATATTTATACAGGACATTTATATATATTTATGTACAATTCTATGCATTTATATATATTTATATACAATTATACACATTAATATACATTTATATACAATTATATACATTTTCATTTCAATGACATTTTTTTTTGTATAGCGCCGGTTAAAACATACGTCATCTCACAGCGCTTAACATAGTAAGGTGTAGACTAAATAGAGCACCAACAATCCAAAGTTGCCTTTGGACTCTCTCTCATTTAAACATATTTACATACAATCTGAGGCTCCTTCCACACAGTGTACATCACACATATATATGTACATTTATATATATATATCAATATAAAAGTCTATATATAGTCTGATGCTCATTTCACATCATTTACATTATATATATATACTGTACATTTATATACATATATGTATTTCTATACAATTCTAAAAATGTATATATAATATATACAAGTATGTACATTTATATAAATGTATATACAGACTGAGGCTCCTCCCACATAGTGTACATAACATACAGTGTATACTGTGCACACACACACAAATATATTCATATAATGTGCATCCTCTTGATCAGCGGCGTGTTGTGTGTTGTAGAATACATTGATTAGCTGCCGATACAGAAGAGATTGTGATTTTAGAGGCCGTTGTAGCAACAGGCTTGAGGCCTGAAAGTGTCAGCTATGTGGGGTTTTCTCAGGGCTGATACCAATTATTATTGATCAAGGAGATCAATGGCCAATATTTGTAAGGGATTTATGTGTAGACTCTCAGGCCTCGAGGTCATGGGCAGATGGATTGAGAGAGGAGCGAGGAATGATAAACTGGAGCAACCATCTGTACACAGAGGAAGTGTCTACAGGGTGACACCACTTATCAGGTACTTAGACTGCAGTCCTGAGATCCCTCACATGGCAGTTTGACCGCCATTTTGGAACTGATATTCACTAGCAGTAGAAAGTCAGAGAGACTTCAGGTCAAATTAACATTTTAAAATTCATTTAGTTTATTGGAAATCAATTTTAAAAAAAAAACAAAACAAAAAAACAAACAAACATAAAAAACACAAAACTGTACAGATAATCAGGAAGTTTTCGGTATGAAGAATCGAGCGGGCTGATAGTCGGGGATCCCGACCGTGAGGGGGGAACGAAGTGAGCAGAGCGACACGCCACTGATCTGATCACTGATGGCTGCCCCAGTTCCAGATCAATGGTGACCCATCATAGATAATCCCTGTATAATCCCCAGTAATCTGTGGGAGGCTAATGCTGCGTTCACTGTCGTTCTGTAACTCTGAGCGCCGCATGAGTAAATGTGCTTAAAGTATCTGCAAATAAAACTACAGGAGTGCTGTCAGTACACACAATAAAAGAATCTGTAAATGCCTCATTAAAAAACAATGACAACAAAGTAAATAAAATGCTTAACAAAAAAAACTAATATTAAAAAAATAAACATTAAGTTAAAAAGAAAACAAGATGAGTTTTGTAACTTTTGCCATCTAACCACACATTCCTGTCGTTTGCCATCATCTCTCCTCCTGCGGTGGTTTAACGCCACCTCCTGTTTGAACAACCAGTGAACTCAGAAACAGAAACGTCAATTCAGGTTTTCTTTTCCTCAAATCCAACAAAAAGTTGAGCCACATGTTGAAAGCAGCTTCTGTCAAACCTTATATACACACATGAACAAACATGTAATCCTGGATGCCACATATATGAGCAGTAAACTCAGGACGGGCTGCTTTGTTTCTGTGCCGGTGGTTCCTTTGAGTTCAGTAATGTGGAACCGCAGCAGCTCCTCTTTGTTCTGTTCATGTTCCTGAGCTGGAAATAACTCAGCTGCTCCTCAGCTCATTAACTTTTAATCAAACATCTAAATGTGCCGGCGAGGTGGAGGTTATCCTGCTGCACCTGTCGACGCACGTCTCCGCCCGACCGCCAGCCGACCTTCAGCTCGGACCCACAGGAGCTGGAGGTGGAGGGACTGGAGGAGGAGCAGCAGAACGACACGGGTTCTGGATAAGCTACCGCTGAACGGTCTGTTATGAAGTGATCACGGAGTAAGTTTTCTCCTCAACTCTGACACTTCAAGTCTAGTTTCTCCTCAGCTGAAGGAGTTCAGGGTCTCCTTAGTTAAGGGTAAATAAAAAAGCTTTACTGATTGTTCTCACGAGGACCAGCTGGGAAAACGCAGAGAACACAGTGAGGTCGTGGGTCATATTTCTGTCTCGTTCGTGTGCTCCAGATGTTCTACAGAGAACAGAGTTCTTGTATTGTTGGTGTTCTACTGACAGCAGAGTAAGGTCATTGATGGGTTCCTAAAGTTCTACAGAGAACACAGTGAGGTCGTTCCTGTGTTCTTGATGTTCTACAGAGAACACAGGGAGGTCTTTCATGGGTTTTGATGTTCTACTCTGAACGCAGTGAGGTCGTTCACATTCTTGATGTTCTACAGAGAACACAGTGAGGTCGTTCATGTGTTCTTGGTGTTCTAGAGAGAACACAGTAATAGTGTGGGTTAGATTTCTGTCTCTTTCATATGTTCCTTATGTTCTACAGAGAACACAGTGAGGTTGTTCATGTGTTCTTGGTGTTCTACAGAAAAAACAAGGCGGTCGTTCATGGGTTTTGATGTTCTACGCTGAACGCAGTGAGGTTGTGAGTTAGCTTTCAGTCTACTCCGTTTGTTCCTGATGTTCTACAGAGAACACAAGGAGATTGTGGGTTATACTTCTGTCTCGTTCATGTGTTTCTGATGTTCTAGAGAGAACACATAGAGGTCGTTCACATGTTCTTGATGTTCTACAGACAACAGTGAGGTTGTTCACATCATAGATACGTATATAAAGGCTAGATGTCTTAAGGCGGCGTTTTGAACGGTATCACCGGCGGCCATCTTGATTCGGGGCAGCTCTCTGGCGGTGGGATTCCATTGGCCGACAGCGCGGACGAGACAACCAGCCTTTATTATACATATCTATGGTTACATCTGTTTTGTTCTGAATGTGCTTTTGTGAAGTGTAAAGGAAACAAATGAGCACATTATTTGTACGTTCCACTCACTGTACGTGAACTGTATGTTACAGAACGGTGTTTACAGTCCAACAGTTCAGGTGAACACACGTCTGAACGGCTTTGTTTGTTATTTGTGTGACAGACAAGTTGACATGACGACTAATTCCTAGTATGCAGAACTCAAAATTTGAAGTTATGATACTTATGAAAGGTACATTTTCTGAACACAAAAAATTAAGTTGGCACAACTTTTATTTTTCAGAATTCTTAGTTTGTATAACTTGAAATGTGAAGTTATACACATGAAAAGTACATTTTCAGAATTCTTAGCTTGTAAAACTAAAACATGTAAGTTACATAACATATGAACAACAAGTTAACTCAACAAAAACTTATCTGTTGGTTGAAACGTAAAATGTTTATTTGGCCTACAAACCGAGCCCCACGGGGCCCCAAGGCTCGACCAGCAGACGTTCACAGAGAGCGCCCCCTACAGGCAGCAGGAGGAGGCGCCGTCTCACTGATCCGGCTGAGGTGGCGGTTTTGTTCTTTCTTGTTTTTTCATTTAACAAACATATAAATGTTTTATTCAGCTGTTGAGCATCAGTATCGTGGGATAGATGTGTGATAGTTTCAACAGCAAAGCAGCACCAGTTTAATGTCAGTGACACAAAGTTCTGGAAACAAGCACCCGGTAAAAGAAGGCAACTGGACCTTCAGACAAATACTGCAACATACCAGAAAGCAACCATCGAGTGAAAATACCTGATTGTTCCCTAATTTAAATACATTTATGGTAATATTGCATGAGATTGTGTGTGTTGTTATGTTAACCTACATAACCAACACTTTCTCTGATAATTGTCTCTAAAGTTACACATATCTTCACATGAATAAACGTGAAGTTAACAGGTTTAAATGAACTCGTGTTACCCTTCAGCACCTCATGTGTTTATATTGTTGTATTAGCAGGTTCTTTGAGAGAACCACGTGAGGGAAATTCAGACATTTTCTAGTAATTTCTGATGTTTCAGATGAAGATTTTCACTCTTCATCTGCTGAATCAGATCTGTGTTGCCTCGCAGTCACTCTCTTTCCTTAAAATGAAAATGTGCTTCATGCCAAGTATCCCAGCTGTCATGAAGCGGCTGTTTTCAACTGTTATCAACACTTTTCTCATTGTTTTCTCTCCTTAAATAAGTTCACAAGTGATCACAATAATAATGACATCATTTCAATCAACACATACATTTAGTTTTGCCAATTTATTTTTGTTGGCTTATGTTTAGTTAGTTTACTACATATACACTTATTTGTGGGTGTTTTTTTTTTTACTTTAAGAAAAAAGAGAAAAAGAAGGAACAGGGTCATTTAAATGTCACTGCCTCACTTCTTGTCTTTAATCAAAAAGACAAACACTGTTGTTCTGATGGCTCTTTGTTCTTCTTGTTTTTTTTCTTCTCGAGCCATGTTCCTTTGGTTTCCTGTCTACATCCAGACGGTCTTCTATCCAGAGACCATGTTTCCATGTCAGGATGCTTCTTCAGACGAACAGGTACTCTGATAACTCCTTGTTCTTTGTTCGTCCACCAGGCTGCTTCTCAGTGTGTTTGGCTCTGCTGGACCAACAAGGCAGAGAAGGCTGGTTCTGTTTGTTGAGCAGCACTTCGTTCTTTCTCTGGGGGATGATCTCGGACCGATCTCCGTCATCGTCAGCATTTGGAGAGCGCTGTTGGT